AACTCTAAGGCAGCTTTGTAAGTCATATTTCACATAGAAGTACTCTGCCCTTTTTTATACGTGGGTTTTAAATACACTTAGTAGGACCTGAGAGCCCAAACAGGAGAGAGCATGCTGAGCGTGGTCAGAGGTGAAACGCTGGTGTTAAATTACTCCTTAATATCAGGTGTAATAGTAAATCATCATGATTGATATAAAACACCTCGCAGCAGTGACATTTTTAAATGCTGTATCATTAGTATGATAAATAAACCTTTATTTGAGGGTAAATAAATCCTGAAACAAACTGTTTATTGTAAAGCAGTGTCACATTATTGGAAATGTCACAGCTAAACGTAGAGTTGGTAACGTCAGAGTATTGAGGAAAAGGCTGAAATATGCAGAGCGTTTGTTTAGTGATTCATGCTGAAATCAAATCAGTTTATGTGTCGGTATCATGTGCAACGAGAATGTTAATAAGCTGTGGGAAGGAATAGCAGGACCTGTGCACCGACCTGTGGGCTGAAGGATGGTATCTTTGGAGGTGGACTAAATGTTGCTAACTGGAGGGCAGACGATATGCAGGAAGTTATCAGAGGAGTCGATGATATCAGTCAGCAGAGGAAGCAGATCAACAGGAGCAGCCTGGGGGAGGGAAGAGGGCAGCAACCAGAATGCAGAAAGGTTACAGAGGGAGATGGAGAGTGATTTCAGTGGATGGCGAAGGAGATGTTCAGAGGAAGAGTCAGATATCGACCAAAATGGTATCAGATGTCAGATTTACCACGCAAAGAAAAGGAAGGGGTGCAGTGAGTGGAGAAGAGCAGAGGTGATAGAGAAGCACATCAAAGATTTAAAATATAGCATTTTTTAAAAGAAAGTGTCAATAAAATGGGCATTAATACGTTTCTCCACTCTGTGGATGCTTTAACCAGCTTGTCTTTGAACCCACGCGCTGGTTAGAAACTATGAATTTTAATGTTTTCAATCCACAATATTTATGAAAATTTCATCCAGAGCTCTGCTGCATGCTGAGCGAGAATGATGATGCAACCCTGCTCATCTACAGTGTGCCATGTGACAAACATGTCTCTGCTGTCCTACAGGGTCTCAGGGGAGACAAGGGCGAGCCGGGAAATCCAGGATTACCAGGCTTCAGTGGACCTAAAGGCCCCACGGTGACTGCAAGATTATTTATTTATATATTCATGTTTTGATGTAAAGATTAATCGCAGCTCGCAAATACGAGCAGCTGTGGGTAATAATAACTTTTATTTTGATTTCCAGGGTCCGTCCGGTCCAATTGGCCCAGAAGGAAAACAGGTAAGACTTTCCAAAAGAGAACTGATGACGTATCATCTTTATATCCACACTAACATTTACTTGTCTGTGGTATTTTTTAGGGTGTGCCGGGCAGAGCTGGTGATCGCGGTATCAAAGGAGAGAAGGTGAGCAGCGCTAGGAGTGTAAACCAAATCAATTTTGCTGACCACTTTAGACATACACACTTACACATTATAGCAGCGTGTGACAATTACTGATGTGCCACAGGATTTTGAGTCAACCAGACAAAAACGCTAGAAATGAATTTATACGTTTCCCCCCAAAATCCTTTAAAGAAACTTAAAATAAAGAAATGAGGGGGAAACTAATGACTTTATTATGCTGAGCACACTATAATCGCATGGAAAACATGCCTGTGTGGGCCCAGTGTGTGGGTGTGTATGAACTGTGGGGCTGTAAATGCAGGGCAAACCCACACTGCCCACACGTGGACCATAGCATTTTTGCCTTTTTATGTCCACATTGTCGGCTTGCTGATAAACAGCCCCTATCGGCTCACCTGTTGGCTAACCCATACAAACCCTGCCAACATTTTACTCCACCACAGTTTTCTATGGGCAGTCTACAGTGAGGTTGCCCATAGAAAAGCCATACAGGGCTCTGTAAGGGCAAATTTGCTATGGGCTCTATGTGGGCGCATCAACATCTCTCAGCTGTCACTGATGCTAACATGGTGCCACACTTTAAAACAAATCTCACACAGACAGCAAGAACATTGGAGTGTGTTAAAGTGTGCGATAAGAGGATGGAGGCGTGGTGTCTGCACCATTTTATTAAAAAAATGCAGGTGTCATGATTTATTTATTTATTTAGGACAGTGCATGTTAATGAACATAAATGTAAAAAAAATTACATGAATGTAAACATACCAGATTATAGCCAAAGGCTAATTTCCATCTGTTGTCCTTAAACATAAAAAAATAGACAATAATTCATAAAAATTCATCATTCATTCATAATAAAAACTCCATCACCAAACTTAAACATACACACCATTCTGTTCCCAAATAAAACATTAAAACTATACAACTCATACATGATCACACACTTGATTTGTCCATAACCAGTTTTTAACCTTTGCCTTAAACAAATTGA